GATGTTCGAACTCTGTGCCTGTGCCTTTAACCAGGTGCTGAATCGTCATGGTCATTTTGGGGAGGTACACGATCACCCACATCGCGTATTTTCTCGCAGGTTCAAACCTGTATGGGCCACTTTGTCCCTGGCACTGTAAAACAAAATCGTGACATCTCTCGTTGTCATCATATTCCTCGATCTCATAACTCTCGTCAGACGATGATAAGATAGATTCCGTGTCGCTTTCCGAGCACTGCATGCGTATAGCGGCCATTGTGAAACGATGACAAGTTCCCCCCGTGACGTCACAAATCACCCTTGCATGCTAATTAGGTTCTCTAGCTGAAGCCTCGTTCTGAGTCGGCCAAGAAATTGGACGTGGGCGTTTCCTTATCCAGAACATTATTATTGCTCGTTTATTTAATTTATGTACATTTTTCACTTGTTTTTTTTTCATAATGTTGTTTATAAATAAATTTTGCACACAAAGAAAGTCAATTGTCCCAATTCAGTTACACTTTAAATACCTTGAAATTTGTTGAGGGTGTCGCGTTCCAATGTAATTGCTAGTATCACTCGCGGGGCTGAGACATAGGACAAATTTTCGAGAAGTTCGCATTTCCGGGAACACTTATACTCGATCGGGCGCATAACCGGGCATTTTCACCGCTTGACAACCATCGCCCTGTCAAAACAACAGTCGAAACACTCAGTAAAATATACTTTGGGCAGCAGGTTGGTGTGACTCTCTTGAACAGTGTAAGAAGACTAGTACTGCCCCCGTGGGTCCGACTTGTGGAAATACCTGGAACCCATGTCTGTGAAAGGGGTTTTCAAAATGATCCTAAACACGTTTTAAAAGGTCAAAATTTCGTACTCTTTTCACTGTTAGAAAGCTAAAAGATCACGCACCTTGAACTCGCGCCTGATCTCGCGATATTTGAGCTTTCTAACCCTTCAGTGTAAGCACGGGTTGGTCATATGCCGTGATCGCCCGTGATCGAGGGTCTTTAACCAGGGGGCCGGACATTTTCCTCGTTTTTGCGATCATTGAATTCCTTAAAGCAATAACAAAAAAACGATAATCTCGTTTAAAAAATAACCACCCTTATCACGTTGGCAGTACCGGAAAAGACACCATTTTTGTCTATTGTGACTGAAATGGTAACCCTAAACCCGTAACGCGCGTTAACGTGGATTTCTTTAAAAAACACCCTTTTAACGCGTTTTCTTTCACAGACATGCGTACCATATCATTCTTTAAGTCGGACCCCCGGGGTACTGCCACTACATGTTCAACATATATCAATTTCAATGTTCTGGATTATCTCAAATTTGAGTTTGTGCTGTTTTTACTAGCTCTTCGTCTGGCGGGCAACAGCGTCCGAACGTTCTGTGACGAAGCTAAGCCCCAAGAAATGTTTTATATGATATCGAGCGTTGTTTTATACGCGTGGGAAGCTATAAGTGGGTGATTTTCACTGTAAACAAATGCGTTCAGTTCAGAAAGAGTAGGCGTGTGGTGGCGCCCTTTATTAAGCTTCTTACAGCTCGGGCGTCGACCCCAATGTAATTATTACCAGTATCATTCCCATAACAGCCATTTAAATGCGTTGGTCGTCGTGCAGCGCGTGTCCAAATTTCATGTAAACAAACAATGTAATTTACATGCGTTCTCAGGGGCGGATACAGGATTTTTTTATTGGGGGGGGGGGCAAACTTTAAAATCGACAGACTAAGTTAATGTTTTTTTTATATTATAAAAAATCAAATTGAATAAATTTTTCAACGGGGGGGGGGATCCGAACCCCAAGATCCGCCACTGGTTTTAAACGTCGCTATGAGTCCCATATCGAACTGAGCGCGGAGCGCATTCAAACTCGAAGGAAGCTATTAGCGAGTGATGTTCAGTATAAACGAGGAAGTACAGTTTAGAAGAAACAGGCTTGTGGTGGCGCCCTTTATTAAACATAATAAAAACGTTTTTATCTGCTATTGAATGTTAAAATACCGAACTAAAAAAGATTGTGGGGAAATTTGCTTACAGCTAAATGTAATAGATATGCTATTGTGGTCTGTGTTTTTGAATATTATCAATGCAATCTGATAAATGTGGAGCTATAAAGTTGTCCAAGCTTGGTTCGAACAGTGACATTGGTATTGGGAGTAAGTACATATTACCCGTATTCCATGGAATCCTGAGAAATAGCTATATACGAATCCGAAGACGTTCAAGGAATCCATTCGCCGTCATGTGATATATACAACAATGCACTAAAAACATAACCTTTTGTGTTCATGCAAATACGACGCCGATCCACTGACACCAATTTGGGCGAAGTTTTATGTGCATTCATTTTGCGTTTTCTTTGGATTGTCGTGGTATACGTCGATAATCGCGCATATTGTAGCCGTGCCGTTCTGATTCACGCTGGTCGTCATGTAAATGATAGTGTATTTATACAGCAGAAAAAAAGTGCATTTCAGTACAACATTTAACACGTTTGTTATGTATATATTTATATTTTTACACCAAATACACATAATTTATCATCAAGTTGTGTTGATCATTTTTTTTAAATATGTAAATAAATGTATACAGGTTTATTTCGTGTGAGGTGACGGAATTTGTCCGTGGTATTAAAGAAAATAGAGATTTTTGTTTTCATTGTTAGATTAATATATTTGGCAGACATTTTCATATTTATTTCAATAAAACATTTACACTTTTGAAATTAATTTCCGCCTGAGGTGCATTTGGTGGCCATCACAACAATAGACTTGTACTAAGTGACTGAAATATTAATCTAGCGGTGAATTAAGATATATTGAAAGCAAATTGTTCAACCCAAAAATAAATTTGGAAATTTTCTTCCAATTTTTCAATTTTCAATTTCGCAGCAGGTCTGTTAAGAAAAGTTCATGCAGATCACAACGACGCCGATGGATACAATGTGAGCGTGGGAAAAGGAGCGGTACCACGGATTAAGTGACGTCACGGCATCTACATATTTTGAAGTGATATAACATAAGTGTGTCTGTATTGGTATTATTTTTCAAAACCGTTGTGTTGTGTATAAAATGTATGCAAAACATTTACTTTGCCGTTCTTAGTAGAATAAATCAGGGAAACTAAATAGTTTGACCTTATTTACGAATTCTGACGGAGTGGTGTGCAAGGTTTTACCGGCACAACTGGAGGCGTGACCTATTTACAACTTGTCATACATCAATCGCAAGACTGGTTACAAACTAGAGCTAATTGATTCGTGACCCACTCTGTTTCGTATGGCAAAATGACAACATATTGGTGGGTTTCGCTGGTTATAATTGGCGGCGCATGCGTCGTTAAAAAAAACAGCTGTCTGTTATGTCATTATATTCATTTTGTATCACGCTAATTAAAAATTCTTGATTGAGATAAACATAATATTAATCAGATGAAATTAGTTTTAGAACAGCAATTTTCACACACTGGCAGTGAGACAATACAAATTAGGTATCTTATCAATACTGCTGTAAATGTTACACAGATTTAACGTTGGATTTTGAAAGTATTTTAGGCATCATTGAATGGAATTAATTATGTTATAAATTAAACGAACGTAATGTAAGTTCCGGTGCAACAATGACTGAACCACAAATATAAAAGTTATCCACGTGGGTTAGAATCGGCTAGCATTATACATGGCCATGCCGGAGAGGGGAACAATACCAATCAAATGAATAGAGACGCCATGTTGAACCGACACCACCTAGCATATGGAGCCATCTGTTGCAAATCTCAATTGACCCGTGTTAGAACAGCCATGTTTTATAGCCATACTAATGCAGTAGTGTCTCTTCCGACAAGTATTTTTTCCTGTGTAAAATAACGAGGCAGACGTCCAGTGTACATTTCTTTGCAGGTGGTAACGATGAGTGCATGAAGCCGACGATTGCGCGAACGGGTTTTGGGTTGCGTAACCCCCTGCCACTGATGCACAAACTACGTACAATGTCGACAATAAGCTTGGCCCGTTTACAGTTATACGTGGTAATCGCACTGTTCCTTGCTAATGTATACTGTATGTATGTTTACTGGGACACATGGGCCACGGAGTCGTTGATGCCTGCTAGTCACCATGGCAGCGCCCTGGTACCTGAATATGAGACGCACTTGTTTTCAGAAAACAGTCATACCGCGTGGTTCAAATATCGCCACAGAAGAAAAAGGTATGTATCAATACTGAATGTGCGTGTGTTTGTTTTCCAATTGTATAAATATTACGCCATTGTAAGGCGCGCCAGCGACTGAAATTGACGAGTTGATTCTGCAAACGCTTACAGGTGAACTCGGGTCCACCTGGAGTAATTTGGCAGGTGGGACATATGAGTGTTAAGCAAAGTAAAAAACAAGCCCTTTTCACTTATGTTTAAATTCAAATTTACTCTCATATTTCGATAAAAAATTCCATTCATTGTGGTTCTACAATGTATGTATTGTAAATGCAACATACAACATATAACAACGCTGGCGATTACACTGACACTGTCTAACACTCGAAACGCAGGGCTATTCTGTAATACGTGTCGTCACATGCATCGTATATTTTGTACCCCAGGGCCCTGGTTATTCTCAATCAAGAATGATATGTTTCAAATTTTCGAATTAATGTGTGAAATAACATGAATAGGAGGATTATATTTTAAAAACCTTAAAAATTCATGTGCAGCCGGTCGCATAGCATTGACACTTGTAATGCAGATACCGGATGTGTATATTTATTTAGGCATGCATCATCGCAGAATCCGTTATTGAATCTAAACAGCCAGTAGCTTTGTGAACAAATTATTTTTCAATAGATTCAGAAAAAAATGGAAAAAGTTCTTGAAAAGTGATTTCAGTTGTCAGAGGCGTTATACACAGAAGCTTTTGCAAGACTTGGTACCTGGGTGAGTATGTGTGGGTGTCACTATCTCTGCATATTCGGTTTGTTCACGCAATGCCATGAGGTTATCTTCATTGAAAATTATCCAACTTCTAAAATGATCTTTATTTATAGCATACATTATTTATAATTTAGAATGTACCCAGTATAATGCTTTCAGGTCTACGAAATCGCTCTTAGTGACAAACGGGGAGACACACTGAGAAAACCGTAGATTACGAAAAGAGAAACATGTTCTCAAGAATAATGGGGACTCTACAACGCTAGGAGAGAACAATTAAACCACTGTTTCAGTGGGCCATGGCTCTGGTATTCTTTTCTTTTTATAATTTTAAACCAAATTGTAAATATATCAGGAAAAAATCACAAAAATAAGTAATGAGTAATAAGTTTGTGTGTTTTTAGCTTACTTCGTATTACCACAAATAACTGAAGGAGTATAAATTATTATTGGAGTATTAATCTTTATATGATGATAATAACGCTATATTAACATGTTATTCCTAAATTGATATCTATGTTGATTTGATATTTGCAGTTTCAACGCGAGTGATGAGTTATTTCTAAATACAAAATACAAAACATTTAAAAACTATGATCAGACGTTTTCAGAAACACCACCATACGGCTTTGATAGAAAGAGTGAGTAAATCTTTCCGCATAATTTCTGACTTATTTATTATGTATTCGCAACTGCCAGAGCGTATTTGATCAAGTATTCGAACTCGGAAATCGTTCAGATACATGTAACTTAGTACATTCCTGAGTTATCTGTAGGTAACCTAGGTCTGTGATTCTATGTTATGTTGATATACTTAAACGCGAATGTTTAGTCGAAATTTATTAAGAAAACGCATGGAAAATATTGCTCAAAGCACGCTACAATACATTAAATGAGTGACCGGACTGGTCACTGACCAGTTACGCCCTCTGTCGCTGACTTTCTCAACAATATCAAAATGGCCGTCGAGAGAGGGCGCCCAAGCTACAGTTTATGTAGGCGGCATGTGTGTACGAGTATATGCTGTGTTAAACCTGTGTATCGTTCAATTGCAGCGAGTGCAGTGGATTACCTTCTGGACCTACTTTTATTGTCTGACTATCCAGACCGATTCAGGTGAGCCAATGACGTGCGATTGAAGCCCTAAAATTGTGTTTGTTCGTTTTTCTTATATGTAGATATTATTGTCTAAATCCCGTCTATGAGTTGTAGTTTTACCACGAGATCATTACGAAGCAGATTAAAAAATACCAAAACACCTCATTATCATTCTTTGGTTCTTCAGTTGATAAGAGAGTTTCAAATTTACATAACTCGCTGATATTAAGATTATGCACATGGTGCGTTTCTCGCATTTGGGCTTTTTTATATATTGTTCACATTTAATAATGTCAGGTAATATATGTTATAATATATTATTTTTTATGTGGATAAGCAGGACACCCTATCATGTGAAAGTTGCACCGGAAAAAACAACAACAACAAAACAAGAGCTATTTAAGTTTAAAATTCCCTGACCACAAATTCAAGTTAGGGGAATGGCTAATATTCTCCCAGTGCAAATTTAACATTATAGCAAACTAAGATATGTATGACTGCACATTATCATACCTATTTTTTCATTAGAACATTCTTCCAGTTTTCTGTGAATGCTTGTAATACTAAGGTAAAATTCTCTCTGTGTGCTAAAATAGTGACATGCCCCATATTTATGATAGCATGAAACAAGTGGGAAACGAATAGTTACTTCACGATGTATATGCGTGTTTCCAGGTTAACCAGGGCATCAAATTGTACTCGCTGCGTACTGGTGGCCAATTCCGGAATCCTCATTGGTAGTAAACTGGGTGACGTCATAGACACTTATGACATAGTCATAAGGTATTAGTATACATTACGTATTTTAACACACAGATGAGCATGCTCAAATGATTCGCCGCTTCCTTTAATTCACACTCAACATGCAACACAGTCACATGACTTGAACGGTATTTTATAAACGCTCGTGTTCATCATAAAATAAATAACAAATAATCCTTGACTGCCATTGCAGGATGAACAATGCAAAGACAGTAGGTTACGCCGACGACGTCGGCAGGAAGACGACCTTTCGTTTTATATACCCAGAAAGTGCGCTCATGGACACAAGCCAGTATAATCGTGATTCTGATATCGTATTCATGTCGTACAAAGAAGACGATTACTGGTGGCTGGCCTCAGTGCTAAAAAAGGTGAGTCAGACACTTTGAATGTAACATCGTATACGTTAATGTAAACAGGTGTGGAGACATATTGTAGTTATTTTAGTTAGTGTCTAATTTCAAGAATGTCCTATTGTTAATTAGCAGAATATCTAATTGTTAATTAGAGAAAATGACCATAGTTCTGGTAAAAGAAGTGGCGCATACACGTATACGCGATTTGATTAAATGAGAGTTTCGTCAATGAGTGAATTATTTACCCATTCCATCATGCATCACTTCTTGGCTTTATTTCTTGAAAAGCACACATGTTCATAGGTCCACACTCATTGCATTGCAGTGTGTCTATCAATTGTTTGTAGTATAATTTTACTTCTGTTTTTTTGTACTTGTAATATTATCGATTGGTGTGGTGTTATTTATATTGTACTATGCGTTTATATATATATATATATATATATATATATATATATATAAAGTTTAATTTTGTTTTAAATAATAACAGTATCATAGACATCACAGTATCACTAATGTTATAGTATGTTGCATTTCTGTCGAAAGAAAAAAATAAGTGGCTATTTCTGGAAGGAAATCCCAAACTCACTGGATAAACCAGAATATCAGATACGACTGCTAAATCCAGCTATACACCAGGAAGCGAGGGACATACATTTATGTTCGAAAGTGAGTATTATTCAATTGTAACTGACTGGTCCATATTGAATATAGGATAAACACGCAACATGAAAGATATATTTTGTTTTGTACCTTTGTTAGATACTGAATGTAGATGAGCATTACACAATTTGGTTTTCGTTGTAACTTAATTATGCATGTGCACCGATTGTGTTCATAATACATTCGTAGTACAGGTAGTTTGTTTTTGCATTTCCAATCGAACATCTTATTTTGCGTTCTACAAAAACAAAATCATTCTATACATATGTGTAATTATAATTAAAATGGGACATATTCCTAAAATAATTCAAAATACAAGTGGCCCTGCCAATTATCTCAATTATTATTTTTAGCATATTTGAACATTAGACTAAAACCATCTTCGGTGCGGTGATCGTCAGAGTAGATCATAAGTTTTCGAAACTTAGCATAAACATTAATAGCGAACGATTCATGCGTACTGGTGGTTTAATTTATATAAATTAGCTTATCACTACGTCCATGTATATTTCAGAAACGTCCGTCAACAGGGATCGTGGCTATGGTGTTCGCGTTTCACTACTGCGATATTGTTGATATAGCAGGTTATGGGGATGATCCACGAATGCCGAATCACTATTTCTCAGACCCGGTATTGGATAATATAAGAGTCACCTCGACAACTCATTGTTGGGACAATGAAGCAAAATATATCGAGAGAATGTTGTACTGTGGAGCTATTCGCAAAGATCTTACCCGCTACTACACAAACCGACTGAAAAACAGACCACCATCTAGCATAAGTTGCCATGGTACTACCTGGTGCAACTCGCGTTCTTCGTTCAAAAGTTTAGCTGCATGGTTCCACGATGTTATATATTGAAGCACGTCAAACGTAGATGGTTACGTCTTATTATATGTAAACGGGATGCACTGAGGCGTGATGGGGCGGTGTAGTCTGTGAAGAAAGATGTTTGGGTTCGATGTAAGGGTTATACACACGTAAAGTGTACATTATGGGAATGAGGTATATGACACACGGCAACGCACAAATACGGACGGTTTGCACAATCTATCGTTCCCAATTATGCAAAAGTTAACAGACAACTTTTAGAACAATCCAGTTGGTTTCTTTGGAACAGTTTATTTGTGGGCTTGAGACAATTCATACATGATGTGATGGAATCGTCAGTAAACTATGCAAGTAAAGAAAAATGGATTACTTTGTTTCAATTATCTTTTTCCAGGGTAGCAATTATCATCCTTGGCTCTCTGACTGAATGTTATAGCTACCACAGAAAATGATAAACTTGTCTAATAATGATAAATTCTACACGACTCACCTCACCGTTAGTTATAGTCATTGTAACTTCTGTGATACGACACCACTACGTTTCCGATCAGGATTAATTGTAAACTGAAAAGAGACTATTGCTCAATTGTAGTGATTACCAACTATAAGCACGTATAAGCAAACTGGACACGCATTACAAAAAATGCATGTAATACGATCACATAAACTCGTGGGATTTGGATGATTTAATAACCTTGTTGAACAGGCCAATACATTACATAATGTAATTGATTAGTTCAAAAGAAACGATTTAGCACAGAATTCTGTACATGTGCATCTAATAAGTAAAATGCACTCTTCATTAAACAGATGCAGAGTAAACAACATGCACATTCAGATATGTATGTGGCTTTTGTTCAACAAATATCCATGCGGGTCAAATGTGCTAGTGTACTTTTCGAAAGTTGTCGCATGTCACAAGTATCGTTCTTGTAAATACGTATCATATTACGGTACATGTATGTATGACAGTGTATGGGTAAATAACTAAAGCATGGAGCATGGTAAAATAACACTATAGAAAGAAACAACACAATAACTTGGGTATGTTTTAATAACATGGTTTGAATATTCATGTTTTATCATTATAAGGTAAATATATTTTTTACAATACAATATGTGTATTGAAAGTGAGTACCAGCAATTCAAAATATCACTAGTTAAAAAAAAAAACATGAAAAAAAAATCCGAAATACAGCAGCCATGTGCAACTGAATACAGTGATACTGTCTTGTTTTGTTTGCTTAGACGTGTGGCTGACCGGTATGAAACGTCGATTATCGTAGCACGAAATGTACATTCCTGGGTTTCATAATGTGATAACTACGAATTACACCAAGAAACCATACTTTTTTTTGATATATACGTTTTCATTCTGAAATGAATGTCATTGCCATGAAAACTGATTATATATGTACTTGTATTATATATAACATTGATATCAGTAGAAGTATTGCACGTGTGTATGCATGCAACATAACACAATACTGTACATATTGACATATCCATATTTAGTGAAGCTGGTCTTTATTTTATCTTCAATATATAACATGCATATATCGTAGATTAGCCATTCATAGTGGATCCTTGCAAGGCTCAACAGAATACACGTTTGTGTCTGTCGCATATTTGTGGCATTTCACCACGCAATAATGTGGTATAACCTTTGGAAGTCACCATTTGTATTAAAGCTGTGACGGAAACACAAACCATTAAAGACTGCATGTGGAATCATTCAGTGCTTAAAGGTTCTGAGCAATTGAAAAGCTCTGATCCCCGGATCCGAACCTCTGCTTCGTACAGCCCAGTAAGGTCTTTCTCGATCACACCACAGTAAAGTAACTTCATTATATATCTATTTTCGTTGAACCAGCTATGCGCACCATCTCTTGGGATTCCTTTGGATTTCTCATAATAATGAATGGTTACATTAGGATGATATCCATAGCCCGTTATATGCAGATGATCACAGTAGTGAAGTGCCATCACGACAGCCATCGCTCCAGTAGATGGACGTTTCTGCGGGAAAAACAAGTCATATACATGTGAATGCAATGCTAATGGTCGCCGAGGTCTCGTTTAGAGCGAGAAGGCCACGAGACTTTAGTTTGCCCTAAATAGTGTTACATCATCACGTCCACTGTTCCAAATGCCGTGGTCACATCGGGACAAAATCTGCAATATCTGAATACGTAAGGTGTGCCATCGATTTTTGAACAGATACATGCTGAAGCTGGTAAAATGTGGACACAATCGAACCTGAAGAAGAAAGCGAAACTGAGCCACTAGTGTGGACGTTTGCTGTGTGATGATGTTCGTAATTCTGGCAATTCACAATTGCATTAATCAACATCATACAGTATCACACAAGGAATTACAAGCAAAGTTACCTCATGTCATTATCTAATCTAAGGTCCAGGATGAAACGTACCTTTGTTTTCATGTGATAGTTAGCAACCTCATGACCAAGGTAAGGGTTGAGTATTTGTATTTTATCTGCTGGTTTATTCAGTGAAGTAGCGCTTTTCTTCCAAAACTTTAGTCCCTTCTTAATAGGGTCGTCCTGCAAAGGAACAATCCACTAGACAGTAACATATATATACATAGTGATGATGTGCAATATACACTCAGTCTTGTGTTGGAAATCAATGTTAAATAATGCATTTGTGACACTAGTTAAAGTGGGAGAGTCGTCACCTGCGCATGTGTCAGATGACCATAGCGTGTTATTGTTTACAAACATAAGCCTTTGCGTTTTAGCGTGTTGTTATCATCGCTTGCCAGGTGCGCAGGTGACAATCCTCCCGCTTTAAATGAACCTGTGTATGAATGGCAAAATAATAGAAGATGAATGCATGTCCACTTAATGAACAATACAAAGACATTTTTAATTCAAGACAAGCAATCATTTATTTATTTTATTCCAGTCAAACTGATGAACTTGTCAACCTGCATGTAAAACCATGTGTGATCATTTTGTTACGTACCAATTGGGTGGTTAAGATACATAGGTATTGTAGTAAGAAGTATTGAACCACGAATAAACATTCAATTCAATAATTACCACCCAGTATTCCAATATACCCCAAATGAACATATATAGAATAGACTGAGTAACCATACATACGCCTTTAATAACTGCTTCCAGCCACAAGTAGTCATCAAGTTTGTACGGTACAAACACCAAAACAGAGTTTTTATCATATGAACTGCTTGTACGAAATGCACTCTCTGGGTAGACGAGTCGGAACGTTGTTTTTGACCCAACATCTTTTTCATATTTTTTCACCGGGGCATTATTCATCCTGGCACAGAATACAAAGAAAAAAAGATAGTGATAAAAAAGGTGATGTACCAGAAAACGTACACCATGTCCTCTACATCAATTGACAAAACAAAAAACAAAACAAAAGTGTTATCTGACTGATGGGGAAATATTCACATTCACAACATTTGAAGAAAGAACCATTGCACCCGATACGCAACTTAATCTGACTTTTGACTACGAATATAGCAGCCCCCCAAAACGTATCATCATCACTGTCAAAGAAATCGTAACACTGGATTGATTGTAAGGCAGACAGGCCCTTTGCCATTGCAGGCAGACATTTCTAATTCATCGTGGTCACATACATTGATAATGATAATTTTCCCATTTAACATGCATGTACTATGAATCGTATGCCCAGCATACGAGCAACTATCTAAAATCTCTTTGCTATATAAATACATACAGATGTGCAGTATAGTCGACAATGTCAATCTATAAGTCAGTTAACAGAGAACTTTACCAACTTCTTGTCAGACCACATATTATTAGATTAGAAATGACATGCTATCATCAGTTCAGTCATTTGAAATACTATTATTACCATCTACATTATTAAAACCAATAAATACCTTGTATCTTGCTCTGAATGGTGACAGAGATCTAAATATGCATGCAGTATATACAGCTAAATTAAAAGTATTCACTTCATTTCTGTTATTATAAGTTGATTATCTTGAAAAAACAAACTATATTTATGTGACCACAACATTGGCAGCAGCGAAGTCTATATGATTATATGTTGCTTTGTACGGTTATATGAAGCGCGAGGACCACCTTAAACCCTGTTTAAACCCAAGTACTAATTTAGTGATATTTAAGAATCTACCATTAAACTACTAAATAAACTATTTGTTATGTTCTCACGCATGGTGCTATTCAGTTGTGATACATCAACAGCCCATATAGATTAAATAGTATTTGACCCAAGACTCGGTAAACATATAATTAAAATGCAAACTAGTTGAATTACAGAAATTGTTGATGACGTATTCAGAACAAAGATTTTCATCATTGTTATTTTTATAGTCAATTGAAATTTCAATTCACAGTTAGTGAATTATCAGTAACAAGCTTGTAATTCGAACATCTTTTGGCAAATTTTAAATTATCTTTAAATACAAAAGATAAACAAAAGTTATTTATAATTCAAATTGTCTGCATTGCAAAATCAAAAGATATTGCAATACATCAACAAACAGCAATTTTATGAGTAATTTCAATTATATAGATACTATTTTCTACGCAAAATTAATAAGTAAATAAAGCAAATGCATATTGCCAATTATGTGCATATTAATTTACATGCATAATTATTAAATAAGAATATAAAACATAAGCAGATATCAAAAGTATCAATTTTGTTAGTACTAATTTCTATCAAAAATTAATAAAGCAAATGCATATTGCCAATTATGTGCATATTAATTTACATGCATAATTATTAAGAAAAATATATAAAAAATATGCAGATATCACAAGTATCAATTTTGTTGATACTAATCCAAATCCAAAATTAATAAATAAATAAAACAAATGCATATTGCCAATTATGTGCATATTAATTTACATGCATAATTATTAAGTAAGAATATAAAACGTATGCAGGTAGCATGAGTACAATCAATTTTGTCCACATTCAGTGTGTGTTTTAGTTTATACCACATTTTCTCTTTTATTGAGCAGCGTTGAGGTGTTTCTGTGGTTAAAAAAAGTCATCAAAAAATTACCCAGTTCTTGTTACTACTTTTACAAACAAAAGACATCCCAAAAAAAGATGGATTATATGCAAAAAGAAAAATTCATGCAAATGCAGATAAAATGACCTAGTTAAATGTGTCAATTGAAGTTTGTGGGATTGGTCAATCGTTGTGAAAAACAAAATGATATGCATCCAGGTCCTATGATACTCAATGTATGTACAAAGTTTAAATGAAATCCATCCATACATGACAACATAAAGAATGGCAAATGTGCATTTTTAGCACTAAAGTGGCCGTCATTCATCCATCTTGAATTTGATCAGGAAATGTAGGCATATATGTATGGTATAATGTATGTGTGAAATATAAATATGGTCGGTCAAGACATGACAGAGAATAAAACCCTGGATCATCATTAACATGACCATCAGTCAGCCATTATAATCCAACTTGGGACATAAATTTAAATTACATTCATCAAGTTCTCATTATATTCATTGAACATTTTTGGATGGAATATATATACATGCCCAACCAAGATCCTGTTCCAAAGTGGCATAAATCCTTGATTATTAGCTTTAAAATAGCCACTATTTGGACACTTTGAATTGGATTATTGAACAAGTGTATGTTCATATATTTAACATGAAGTATACATAAAATCTGAATGTAATCAAAGAAGGCATGACAGAGGGATAGCCTTGGGATAGTATTCTTAAAACAAAATGGCCATTATCCGACAATTTTGGATCTGAGCTGATCTGAAAAAATGACAATGTACCAAAATCCTATTATATTCAGTGTAATTCAGTGAAATTTGTCCATGTACGATCCAGTTTTGAAATAACAACATGCTCATTTTTGATGCATTTTAGCATTAGACGGTCGCCATTAGTCCATCTTAAATTGGATGTTAAAACAAATGCTTTACTAAATATATACAACATAAAATGTTTGAATGGGCTCAGATACGTCCCCATTTTGAGGACTACGTTCAAACGAGGACTGATAATTATTATACATTATGCAATGATTCAGTACGCTACAGATGCAATTTTTGGATTATTAATGATTATATTAAACATGTGCCTCTAATAGTCTTTACTCTAATTATATCACAGTGAATTCTAAAAATCTATTTTTTCCCCAAAAAAGGAAATGGAATAAGGGTACAACTCAAAGAATTCAGGATTACACAATAAATAGGATGCATATAACATAGATAATACAGTACACAAATACCTCAGTGCCTCATTGAATCATGCAATTACTCACCGTATAACCACATCATATTTGTCTATCAACTTCCCAAGACCCTTTCCTGTACTAACACCAGAACTAGCTACTAAAATACACCGCTTACAGTCACCATGATCTGTTAATCTGTGAGAGTAGATGGCAGTGGTACAGATGGAACCATATACAAGAGGATATCATTTATTGGTTACATAGGAGCACACCATGCAATTGGGGATATGTGTTCAACCGCAGACCCTATAGATGGGCCTGCAGTTGAACCATGAATGAATACAAACATGCAGGAAAGAACTGTAAGCCTTTAACTGCTACAGACAAATCCCCATAAATGTCTGAGAAGATCAACAGTCATGATAAATCCAGTAATGTTATTCTAGACCAGTAGATGTACCGCAAGACTTGTTTTCCCTGAATTTGATTATCTGAATTTAACGAATTCAACAGATTATGAGATGAATGTAGGGTTGATCATGAAATATCAATTGATACAGAGACAACAGCATGTCAAAGATGTCCTATTAAAGTAATCTCTACAATCATTTTGTTTTCATACAGGAGAGAAATATTGTCGAAGTCTCCTGATTGAATGATATTGCCCCAATTTGTGTACACCTCAAACATTATTTGAGATATTTGTCAAAAATGATCCCCCATAACCATATATTACAAGACAATTAAAATTCAAATATATCTCAATCGCTTAGCTACTATGTGTATGAAGTGGGGAGAGGGGGTTTGATAGACACTGCAGAATATGCAGTTCCAGGTAAATGTTTACACAATCAACTTAAATTTTTGTACAATTGTTTATTGTAGGCTTCCATGTTACCTTTGAAAGTATTGGAAATGTTCATAAAATAAGGAATACTTGTTTTTCATTCATAAACACAATGAAGTTGCACAGAATATAATATTGAATATTAGGCCAAGTGTCTCACAAATAATCTCCCCACTTTTCTGTCACAAGCACACTCAGTAAAATAACAACCATGGAACATGCCGGAGAACTCTTATCTATTGCATGCCATACTTTTACAACCATTATAAAGCAAGGTGCAAGAAGCCACTTACTTTGACAAACTTGTTTGAAATGCTTAAATTCCTTTTCACACATGACCAAAAAAAAAGCATTGATTATGCATGATTTCTACTTTTGTTTGTGTGCAGAGTTACTGTTACCAGTTATAGCCACAGTCCATAACAGTTGTGAAATGCGTTTTTTTCAGATTACCCCAGGAAAGTGTTCTCTGTTCCTTGTGTAATTATGCATTCGTATGCAAGGGATTTTTCCACACAAAAACAACAAATTTGGCCGAATTTTGCTAGCGATTGGTTTAATATTACCACAATGGGTTATTTGGCTGTGAAAGATTGGTATTTTTTTCCTGATTTTTAGGAATCTGAAAAACTCATATTCAAGATGGTGGCCCCCATATAGTAAATACCACATTTATTTTATTATCACTTGTGTGCCAGCTGAATATAGCGATCATCTCCACAATAGTATAGGGCATGCTTTTAGCATTTGATAGGACAAATCAATTCACTACCGGTACTTTGGTGGCTTTGAGCTTCTTGAATAATAATGTTGGTATAACCTTGTTATGGTAATCTGAGATTAGTAGAGATATTGCTAACAATCATCTATCAGCATGCATGTGCAAAGGTTAATATTTCAAACTGAAATAAATAACATGCAATTATTGGGATATATACACATCGCCTGCCAATATCCTTTTTTTTTCCCCATTAATTTTGGTAAATCCATGGGGGCTTTCAGAAGGCGAAGTGATAAAAGAATCATACAGCTAGTGTTTTTTACTGTACCCAATTGGTGTGGTCTTGTTGGCTTCTGGTAGAAGTTTCAATACTCTTTCAACAACATCCTCTGTACAAAAGAATTTTAATTAATTAATGCGCGAGTGAGTCGTCACCTGCACATGCGTCAAATAGCATAGCGTGTTATTGTTTAAAAACAAGCGTCTACCCATGAGCCTTTGCATTTTTAGAGCATGTTGTTATTGTTGCTTGGGACTCAATTCTCATGCATGCGTAGGTGACGACCCTCCCGCTTTAAATGTGTAATAATAAATTAAATCAGTGTTGTGTTTTCTGTTTTTCTTCTCCCCAGTAGACTGTGTAATGCCAGGTGGAAGTATAGAAAATACCTAGTATATACAATTGTCTATCAGTTTCCATAAGATGAATGAATACCATTAACATACATCATGGAAAAGGATGTGTAGCAATAATAAATAAATAAATAAATAAATAAATATAGTTCAAGACCATACAGTAAAAATATTTTTGTGTTTGAGGACTTGTTGAATACGTGATTTGGAGACACAATAGAAGGGAGCATGTACGTAAACTTTTTTTGTGTCAGAATTATATAAATACCATACCATGATTTTTGAATCCAAAAGGTTCACTGGAAGTCTTCATCCGTGCATAGTCAGTCCATTCTTTGAAATTACTTGTCAGAAACAAGGGAATATTTGGATCAAACCTAGAAACAAAATAACATTACAATACAAAATATGTTAACAAGTTTAGTTGCTGAGAAACTGTGGATAAATCTGACACATGTTTTGAGTATTTCACATTTTTTCAATGAAAAAGTACTACTGTATATGTATGTTTGCTGCCAGAATAAGTTTTTTTAATTTTTTAACGATACACAATACTATTTGTTCCCCTCTAACTATGGTACTTATTTCAGCTGAAGTAATTAAGTAAATAGGTTATTTTACAGTACTTGATGAGCAATGTGCATGTAAAAAGACAAGCAGATTGTTGGCTGATATAGCTCCACTATTTGAAATTCATAATAAGAAAGAAATATCAAATCAATCAGTCAATCCATTTACAAGATAACAAGAATATTCACTAAAATTAACAAGCAGCCTGTCGGCTGAGATAGCCCCGCTGTTAGCAATGCACATTTCAATTAAAGAACAGAAGATATCATTAGAAAACGAACAATATGTATAGTATCAAAACAATCAGACTTGAAGTGGAAAATATCACTTTTTACCAAAAATTACAAAAATATTCACTAAAATAAGAGAATTGAAGATATCATCACGAAATGAACAAATCTGAGAGAGGTCCACATGTAGTACCTATATATGTAATATCAAAGCAATCGGACTTGCAGTTTTTAACAAGAAGTTGAAAATATCACTTTTTACCAAAAATGACAAAAATATTCACCAAAATTAGAGAATGAAATGAACAAATCTAAGAGAGGTCTACCCAAGGTACATATACATCACGTATCAAAGCATTCAGGCTTGTAGTTTTCAAGAAGAAAAAGTAAAACATTGACACGGACGACAACAGACGACGGACAATCACTCATATGATAAGCTCCGCTCGACAAAGTCGACAGCGGAGCTAAAAAAATGAAGTTATCAACACTAAATGGATTAGTCTGATACAGTATTAAAACAAATCAATCTGACAGTGGTACATCTAAAGTACCTACATATAATATATCAAAACAATCAGAATGGTGGTTTTTAAAAACATACTCAAATTTGTATTTAGGCATTTATATTTTAAATATTCACTTAAGTTAGAGAATAAAAGTTCTCTGCACAAATCAATAAATCTGATAAATTCTGGTCATGGTACCTACAATATCAAAGCGATCTGGCTAGTCGTTTTTGAAATAAATCAAAAATGTATTTTTTTTGCCAAAATCAACAAATCTGAGATATATGTATATTTATTGACACAAAATCATAAAATCCGAGTGTTTACCAAAGATGTCTACATATAAAATACAAAAGCAATTGGGTGAGCCATTTACAAAAATATTATTAAAATTAGAAAGTCAAACTGTAATGAAACAAACGAATCTGAGTGAGAGCCACCCGAATTTAGAAACACAACTTCCATAAAAGCACTCATAAACCAAAATTTGCAAGCACTGTATGCTTAGATTATTAAAATATGTCACATTTTGACCATAGAATATTGATCAATACATGTAACTAATAATAAAGTATGTCCAGCTTAGGGGTAGTGGAAACAATGTATTCTATGAGGCCTATGGGATGATCCCTCACACATATTAGGCATCCAGAAGCAGAAAATGTAGTCAACGCAATCTCTGGTCTAGTTGGTCTAACATTAATTTCAAAAATACATAATATGTGAAAAGAACAATTATGAACAATCAAAGGATTGAAGCATTTAACAGTACTCACGAATACACATATTTCTTGATGGCTTTTTTCAAAAACCCTTTGGTACAGGATGTGAAATTCAGCTCTAATTCTAAATCAGTAACATTTCTAAAAAAAATATGAAAAATGAAAAAAATTATGTACTGTAGAATACTTTATTTTAGCTGGAATTAATTTTTCGCTGAAAAGACATTTTGGGTATTTTTTATGGAATTTATAGCGAAGTAAAGTATTTTACAGTAATCAGATAAGTATAGTGGCCACCAGCTACATGGGCAACAATGTCATTTGTTTCAAAATAAACTCACAGGAATTTATTTCTTTTATTGATGGAGAACAGATTGCCTTGCACAATCAATTGACAGTTACTGTAAACATATTAATTTTTCACTGGTTTTTACTAATATGTAAAATTCACCAAATTAAATCTACATGAACATGTAGAATAAGTTCATGAAATTGTTCAAAACATCAAAATGGTGAAATTAAATGCCAGTGAAAATAAATGGTTTTACAGTACATCAGATGACACCTTAAAAGATTTAGGTCCATCTTCACCATAGTGATGAGATAATCTACTTACACTTGAGTTGCCAGCTTGGTAAATTCTTCGACAACCGAATAGATCGATAGAGTTGGCTCAATATTTGGTCTGAACATTGCACTGTTGAACACGTAGACTACACAAAACAATACTGGAGGACAAACCACCATAAATGTTATGAATATTTTCTTTACGTTGCAGTTTACCATGGTTCTTAATATGTAGTATTTCATCGTTGGCATGTCCACTGATTTAACTCTATGTCTCAGCCTTGTCTACACTAGCTAAGGTAGGAACACAATAACCATTGGCACAGTAGAGGTGAATAAGATCCAATTTCATGAACGTCATATAGCTACAATGACAAAAAAATAATTAAAACTACAGAGCGGCTTTGTCAGGTCAAAGTTTGAAGACTGACAGTAGAATATGCATTAATACACGTATGTACAGTGATGTGAATTGTAAATCATAAAGTCCTGTGTTAATAACATGACATAATAGTTTTCTGTTCCCAAAGTTGGAAGGTCTTACCCGGGAGATAATATATATGGATTTTCATTTAATCAGACCTGCCATTCTGTAGAAAAAAAATTTTCAAGCATTTTGGCTGTTTGTCACTGACAAAACAATGATGGTCAAAGTCTGACTGTTATTACTTATGTTATTATATTGTACATAAATGGTAGAATATGCCATAAAAAATCAGATTGCCAAGCACATCAGAAAGTGGTCAAATAGCCACTTCCTGTTTACTATTATTTTTAATTCAAGATGGCCACCATACCAATGCACCAATCAAAATTGTTAGATTCACTAGCTCACACATTCCACAATGTGCTTGACAAATTGTAAGTCTATGGACAATGGTGTTCAAGTTCCAGGGCGACAAAGAAATGGCAGAAGAAGAAAAAGAATTACTTGGGCGAAAACAATAAGTTCTAATTGGACTTAAACCCTAATTAATATATTTGACCAAAAATTCAAAGTATTATTTTTAATTTAAAAAAAAATTGTGGCCCCCTAATTTCTTTAGTTTTTACAGTTATTTTATTTATAAAATGTGAATTTTGTACCAAATTGCAAATATTCCATAACTGGAATGTTTTTCGAACTCTCAGTATCAATGTGTAATTCACTGCTGCACCAGTGGATTAGCACAGCATGTGTGTGTGTCAGTGGGTTGTCAAATTGGCTAACAGGGCACACTGCTCATATCCACATCCATAGAATCTTACTGTGTAATAAAAGTGTGCAGTGGTGAGAAATATGTGAAATTTTGCTAAAATTAGGGCTGCACAAAAAAATTTTTTTAGTAATACATGTTACATGTATATAGTAAAAATAAGATGATAAGATGAAATACAGTTTTACATAAATAAAAGTGTCCATAGTCAAAATAAGTCATATTTATGTACACGCATTCAATACATGCAACTGTTTACATATGCTTCAATCAGAGATCACTTCAACAGAGCTAAATAACAATAAACGTTCCGTAAATACATCAGATTTTTGTTCCTCACTACCTGCATTTGTTTGAAGAGTAGATATAATTGTACTATTGCTGCATGCTTCAATTTTGAATAAACATATACCAAACGTGACAACAGTGCATTGAGTGTGGCAACTCAAGACAAACAAAATTATATTTGTCAATGTGTTTGTTGGAAGGAAGTATTTTTATATAATAAACGTTTAGTAGTATTCACTAATTTTTAATCCCGCATTGCATCTTTTCAAATGTTTATGATAATGTGAAACAGAAATTTAGTTTTTGTTGGCCATTTATAAGCATATAATCCAAATACTGTAAAATCATTTATTTTCACCATGTTTAACAGCACCATTTTAAAATTTGATCAATATTAACTCATTTAACTGTAAAATTAATGCGTTTATGGATATGAAACAAATAATTCAAATTTTTTTTTGGAAAATAAATTACACAACTTCAGTAAGTATTTAAATGAAAATTTAAAATTCAATTTTATGGTGTAATATATTGACAAGTTTGTGGCTTAACATAAAAAGAACCAGTCCGTACAATTCAAAATGGTGGAACACTCTTACTGTTTATTAGCATTGAACTCTGGGTAATTAGAGCAATGACGTAATCATCCTCAAATAGAACCTTCAAAACATTACATATGGCAGTATTATCTGTTAAATTTATTTTAAGCTTTGGACATATGTAGTAAAATGAGCCATGAATTTGAATCAGCAGTTTCACTGGTAATTCTATGGACTTGTTGAAGCCCCAAGTTGCTGAAAATCTGATCGCAGCCGAATCTACATAAATGCTCTACAATTTTCGGCCGTTTGCTATCAATTTCCGACCCAGATATCTTGCGTGCTGTATTTGGTATATAGCACATACTACTTTCACGTGGTAAATGATACAAACAAAATATTAGATAATATAGCTTTAAAATACATGTAGTTTTCTCACCAGTAAAACAAATAACCAGAATTCTATTAATTCATAATACATAGATCTTTATGATGATTTTTAAGCAATTAATTTACTATTGGTTTTTATGGTAACAAGTTCGCACCATATCTCATATTTGTTTACATATGGTGAAAAATATATGTATATAAAATGATAAATAATATTTTTTTTTTATGAAATATTTCATAGGATTCCTGGGAAAATCTGGCATCAGCCAATGTAATTGGTGACATTACATAACATGTTAATTTATAGAATTTAAACAGAAAAAATGTATTTGTTTTGCGTGTGCGTCAGTTCAAATAAACAAGCTCAGATGTTTTGTTTTTTACTTGAA